TGCCTCAGATATCTGCTAACACTAACATTTTATGCCTCTATATTAATTAAGAGTAATAGAAAGATACTGGCAAGAGCAAATATTCATCTGTTCAAGTTTTACAGCCCATCTATTTTCAGATTGATGTGATCTGTCAATTAACAAGATATAAAATGAGATGAAGATGATCTAAAGCAGAAACATAAATAGAAGTAAAAATATGTGAGTCACAAATGCAAGCCATATATATTCTTTTTGAATAGCCACATTTAAAAAGTAAAACAGGTAAAATTAATTTTAGTGATGTTATATGACTTAATATATATTTTAAATATTATCATTTCAATATGTAATCAGTAGACATCATCCTTATTGAGATATTAATATACTTCTTTTACTGTATCTTTGAAATCTGGTCTGCATTTTCTACTTAGGTTTTATCTCAATTCTTGCTGTCCACATTTTAAATGTTCAATAGTTACATGTGGCTATTAGTTGTGACAGTGCAAATGTAGGGTTTTTTCCAGAAATTTTGTCAGGAGAGGCATAAAGATAAAAGTGAAGACATGAATATTAGTTCAACATTTTTTTTTTTAAGACATGCTCTTGTTCTATCACTCAGGCTAGATCATAGCTCAGTGTGGCCTCACTCCTGGGCTCAACAGTCCTCCTGCCCTGGCCTCTTAGGTATCTAGGACTACAGGCACGCCTCCACACCAGGCTTTAACATAAAATTCAAGTGTAATTAGTAAATCTGAGCAACCAAGGTAGGATCTTAAAATCATATTCATTTCATGAATACAAATAACTGATTCAATTTTTAAAGAGCACCAGAAAAAAAGAAATAATAAACATAGAAGTATATCATTTCAGTAATATTTTCAGAAGAAAAAAAGGAACAGTATCAAAAACTAGAAAGCAACAAGGGTCAGCCACAGAAATATCAGAAAAGCAAGACCAAAATCAACTAGTAATTGCAACTAGCAATTGCAAAAACTGCAATTACTTTAGCATCAACTAATAGAAATAAGGAAAATGAAGATAATGTATGAGAAAATGAAGTCCAATAATCATGAAGTTCATATCTCTTTAAAAATAACTTAAATGCATGAAAGAATATTATTTTCAAAACAATGTGTATGACACAAAATTGATCAAAGGCCTAAAATTAAGTGCTAAAATTATATTAATAAAACTATAAGAAGACAAAATAAGTATAAATCTTTATAACCTTGGATTAGATTACAGTTCAAAAGGAAAAAGAGATAAACTGCACTTCAGCAAAATGCAAAACTTTTGTGCATCAGAGAACACTTAAGAAAATGAAAAGGCAACTGTCAGGATAGGAGAAAATATTTGCAACTTACATACCCGATAAAGTTCTAGTACCCAAAGCTTTTATATCTGAAGGCACTTAAAGCTCAAAAACAAAAACACAAGCAAGCCAATTAGAAAATGAGCAAAGGACTTGAATAGATGTTGCCCCTAAGGAGTTATAGAAATGGTCAGTAGCAAATGAAAAGATGCTCAACATCATTAGTCATTAATTAAATAAAAATCAAAGCAAAAATGATAGCAATGCATACCCACTTGATGGCTACCGTCAATAAAACAGGGCAATAACAAATGAAGAAGATGTGGGGAAACTGGAACCCTCATACATTGCTAGCAGGAAAGTATAGTTCAGCTATGTGGAAAACAGTTTGACAGTTACTCAAAAAGTTAAACAGTTACCATATGACCCAGAAATTTTACTCCTAGATGTATACCCAGGAGTAGTGAAAATATATCTTCACACAAAAGACTTGTAACATGAATGTTCACAACAGCATTATTCATAATATACAAAAAGTGAAAACTCTATGTCCAACTGCTGAATGAACAAAAAAAAAGTCATATAACCATAAAAGGGAATATTCCTCAGCCATTAAGAATGAAGTACTGATGCTGTGGATGAACCCTGAAAATCTTACGTGTAAGGAAAGAAGCCAGGCACAAAAGGGCATATAACACATGATTTCATTTATATGAAATATCCACAATAGGCAAATCCACAGAGACATAAAGCAGATTAGTGGATGTCAGGGGCAAGAAGGAGTGTGGGCTGGAATGACTGCTTAGTTAGTACAAGATACTTTGAGTTGGGGTTAATGAAAGTGCTTGGGAATTAGATACTAGTGATGGCTGGCTACACAGCACTGTGAATATTTTAGAACCTATTGAAGTAATTCTAGTAAATATAGTGAGAATAGCCTATACTTGAGTCAAAATGCAAAAGCAGCTGAGAACAATATACAAAAATAGAAGACAGGGTATTTTGAAAACTGAATCAGAGAATCTGAGGATCTTAGGTAAAAGGTATTAAAAATCAGGCCAGATTTCAGGAAGTGGTTTAGGGCACTTGGCCATCTCCAAAACAGTATTTCTGAATCAGCCTCTTCAAAGGGCTTGAAAAATGTAGATTACTGAGCTCCCAGTCAGAACAACAGAGTCAGAACCTCTAGGGGTGTGGTCAGAACCTGTTTCCCCCAAGAGGACTGTTATGCACATTTCATTAGAATACCACTTAAGAGGTCTAAAACGTGACAACTGTCTCTATTTTTCCCTTCCACAATGTCTTATACAGACTACTTAAGCCAAAATTATCAAGTGCATCCTTGATAGGTTTAAAAAGTCTGTAAAAGGCAGCATCCTGATGGCTTTGAAATTAGACTTTCTTAGCATTGGCTGGGGAATGAAGGCAAGAAGTAAAGGAGAGCTCTGCACCTGCTGAAATCCTTTCTTCTTCCCCCTAAAACTTAACCAAGTGCAGCCACTCTGTTTCACTTCTTCCTAGGACTTGGCTATGGTCAAAAAAAAGAAACCTGCAACTTTCACGATTAAAAATAGTTGAGCAAAATGTGTGTAAGGATTAGAACACTCATCTAACCGTAATCCTCATTAAAATTAGAAAAAAAAAAGTACTAATCACCAATCTCATAATTTGTAGAAACTATTAAAAAGAGATTATTGATTCAAGACAGTTTGGTAAATGCAAATAACAAGAGATAACAAATTGAATAAATTTGACAGAAGTAAGCATATGGGGCATATATAAAGAATTGTTGTACCAACACAGTACAATGGTAAAGGCTGAGAACAGGGCCACAGATGCAAAAGTGCCCGGGTTCTAATTAAAGCTAGACCTCCTAAATCAGTGACCTTGACTTTAACTTCGACTTAATCAGTGACTAAATCGGTGACTTTGACTTTACTGTTGCAGTGCTCTCATCTCTGCATTGGGATGATAATGGTACCTCCTTCATTAGGTTATTGTGAGGACCAAATGAGCAAACAGATAGATATAGTGTTTGCAACAGTAACTGGTGCATTTTGTGTTTGTGATAAAAGTAAACATCTTTTTGTAAATTAAAATGATGCCTGAAGGTTGCATTGCCTAAACTCGGTTTATAGCCTCAAAGATGTTATTATAAAATGAGATATAACAAAGAGAATATAAATAATTTTATGCCTATGTAGTAGATACATTGTTAGCATGACTGAAGTCACCTTCTCAGTATCTTTTGTATTGCTCAGATTCTTTGATTGCCTTCTATATTTTCCTCTTAAAACGGAGATGAAGGGATGATCAATAATAAAGGGAATAAGAGTCCCAGACTTTGTTTTTTGTCATCTCCAAGTTCCTGATATAAACAGTTAAAATTTTAGACCTCAAATTATTTATCACTGTAAATCTTCAATAGTACACCCACAATTTATACATAGTACAGCTATTCAAAATTGTACAATTACTGAAAAAAAAAACACAAAGAAATGCCAAATTAAAAATAATACTATGTTGCCTACCTATATATCTGTTAAGTACTAGGTTTCAAAAAAAATGTTTAGTGTCTGAATTCCTTTTCAACATCCTTTGGAAAAAAGCCTAAAACAATATATAACAATTTCTAAAAGACGTTTGTCTTTCTCAGATCTACCAAAATTAGCAGTCTACACTTCATCAACCACTTTCACCAATGAGAAGGTGAATTTTTACTGCCAGAAGAAAATCTAATGATTATTTATTCCAAGAGTTTGCAAACACTATTTTTTCTGAAGAAAAGGTTTCTAATGTTAGATTGATGCTTTGTATTAAAACAGTCACCATATAACACTTCAGAAATCAGATACATACTAGAAAACATTTTTTACTTATCTAACTCTTATTTTAGGATCTCTGTTACCAAGTTAGCCTTGTAATTTTATAGTTTAAAGGCAAATTTCAGAAAATTATAATTAGCACTGATGGTATTTCTACAATTCTGACTATGTTATCAAATTTATGGTACTATAAAATGATAATCTATTCTGTAACAGTCAATAATGACAGCTCCAGATTTCTTAGTACTCTAATGCAACACTAATGTGACTTATAATAGAGTTTCCTTTACTTGAATCAGGCTCCTGTTCTTCACACTGGTATTTTGATAATTGTTACCATATAAGGGGAGATCATTTAATTACTATTTTCTCTTTAAATTTATGTGCTGTCACTTTCTACTTGTACTTCAAGATCTCATTGTAATAGACATAATTATTACAATACTTGGAAAAGTATTCATTTTAATATTTATTGAGTGTTATATTCAAGGGATTATGTTGAACTTTTTAAAAATAATTTTTAAGTTGAGCAAAGTTAGGAACTAACATCTATTTAGATGAAGTTTTATATTTAGAAGTTGACATTTTAATTTAAATACCAAACATGATAACATATCATGAAAAAGGTCACACTGGCAAAAGGAAAATGCAGCAAATTTTATATGTGTTAGCTATTTGAAAATTTTGGATGTAAATACCTGAAAGTCATTATTGTTGAATTTATTATTTTTAGTGATATTAGATATAACCGCTCAAAATGTCTTTATTTTCTTGTTTCAACAAAGACTGGCGATATATTTTGATATATAAGATCTAGTGTTCAAGCTTCAACTTCGATTAAATACGGCAAGTTTACACAAAGCCAAGTGTATAAAAGGGGATCTTTTAAAAAAAACTTTATTTGAGAAAGGAAGAGACTTATAACAGAAGGCAAGAAGGGAAACATACAAACAATATATTTACAACACAAAACAAGAGATCACCTTCAAGGGTGTAAATTATAATAAATACAGTAGATTTTAAAAGAGACATTTATCAATTAATTCTAAGATTATTTAAGTCCAGCTTTCCTTTTCACTGGTTCCAGGTAGTTTCTTGATTAAATTCAGACTATCAAATTCAAACAATTAACGTCCACCAACTGTACTGATGAAGCTCTCTCAAATGACATTATAAAAAATAGTTTTTTTTGTTTGTGATTACATATCTTTGAAGTAATATTATACAAAAGTCTGCTCAGCCACATGTTCCTCCCCAAATAAAATGTATTTTAAAAGATGCACTATCCCTTTTTTATGAGATTGAAAAAAGACTTTGAAGAAAATGAATATTTATGAGATGGAAAAAATATACAATTTTATCTTAGGCATGCCATATTTTTAATGCAAAACAACTGACAAAAAGTCATTTTAATATGAAGGAATATACTAACCAAAATATGTTGGTTATAGGGAGCGTTCCTATTATAGCTATTTGTCAAATTATCAGAAGGACTTTCATTATATGGAAAAGTTTTAAACTTTCTAACTTCTAGTTATGTTAATTTAATTTGACTGGAGACTTTTTAAAAAAGGATAATGTATCTTTAGCAGTAACATTTTTAAAGAAATATTTTTAAATGTCACAGCAAAATGTAAACAACACGTGCCAATAACATACAGTTGAACAATGTCTACATTTGGCAAAACTGCTGTATCTCCTTTGAAATAGGATACTACACCTTGAAATACCTCGGATTTAGAAATATAAATATTTTAATTAAAAAAAACTCACAAAGATTCTATGTCAATTTGGATTATCCATATTAAAGGGGTCTTAATACAACGAACCTTTAACTAGCTTAACAAAAGTAAACCTATAAAACAAGGTAAACATATCAAAAGGGAATATGAAGGAAATGTTCCAGTGAAAAGCTTCCGTAACAATTTCCCTACTTGTGGTGTTATTTTCTTAGACAATAAATCAATTCATAGAGCGCCGTTTAAAAACAGAAAGAGTAAAACACTATCCTCAGATTTTTTTTCCTACATTCCTCAGGACATGAATCACTTGGACTTCCTGTTTCCACAAGGCATTTCCTGTTCAGCCTCACAGAATCACTTTTCTGTAGGAGAACAGCAGGAACCTGACAAAGAACTGACTTAAATAAACAGTGTCTTCTGTTGCCTTCAAAGTTGTTTGTATTTTATAGCATCAAAGGACATAGTCCTTCTGAAGGTGCATTATGTACAAGTAAATTCTTTTGTTAAACCTATCTTGCCTAATTGTTATTTGCCAGAATGTTATGGTATATGTTTGTGTCATTATGGAATTATACTTAAGAGATTCTAGTGACAATATAAAATATGATACATCTTCTTCTTTTAAAAGTGATTTTGACTTGACATCAGATAATATCATCCTGTTACTGTGTTTTTTGCAATTGTAGATAGAGTACTGTATCTGATTGGACCATAATGCTGCACATAACTTCTCACCAACATTTGCATCTGCTTCATTTGCTCTTTTTTGATAGACAGTGTAATCAAATTACACAAAATAAAAGTAAAATGAGCAGTGCTCTATGTGAGACATAATCTAATATTTAAAGTAGTGCTGCAATTTGCGTCTATATATTTAAAACCACCTGTATTCCTAATATGTTCAATTGCAACCTACACAATAATCTAGGACTACTAGCATGGAAACCAGAACATTTCTACTTAACTAAAAAAAGAGAGGAAGGAAAGGGCAGACTACTTTTAACAGTGTTCAAGACTACAGTATGATACAATATGTACAGTGATGTGAAAATTGAATTCTACATGTTCCAAAAAAATCAAAAACTAATTGAATGCGTCATTGATCAGACTGGGAGACTATCCAGCAGTCACTGATCTCAACACATAAACTAAAAATAACAGTGTGAATTCGTTTTCCTTGAAGTAATTGGTGTAGCAGGCTTTGGGATAAATTTAAAGCCTATTAATTGCTTGTATATTATGTATCATACTTTTAGTGTAACAGGTATTTCCTTACCAGTGGATTTTCAATAAAACCCTGATATCTACACAGAGATACTAATATAGAGAGACCTCTATATAGATACATACATATATCTGCATTAGTTCGAATCCTTAAACACTGAACTCAAATCATCCAGAAATATAAACTGATAGGAAATCATATCCATTTACCAAAACCGTAATGCATTTCATGTTCAGATAATGACTTTAATTACAAATCCTGGAGCTAAATCTTTGCCTATTACCTGTTGCATAAAAGCAGCCTGCTCCCCAGATTCCATTTCTTGGATCTGAGCATCTTCATCACTGTCCACTGGTTCCTCCTTGACCTTCACAGCCCCAACTTGTCCCACTGTGTCATCCACACAAGCACTGCTGTCGCTCCTAGTGCTGTTGCCACTAGAGGGCGCTCTGTCTTCCTGCATCGCCTGGTCCCCCTGAAGCTCTTCCTCTGCTTCCTCAAGGTGACTGCCTGGTTGCTTCAGTTGTTCAATAGATTTCGAAAGCAGCTAGAAGAGAGTGTTCAGGGGTTCAAAATTCAATAGTTCTTGATGGTAACAGAGAAGAAAATCACACTTTGATTTCTAGTAACTCGTACACTGTGATTTCTAATCACTGAACATAAATTTCAGAATGAACTTGTAGGCAACAAGCTTCCTCAGTAATACTAAATCTGAAGTAGTACCATCATTCCATATTGTACATCTGGTAGGCAGGGAATAAGATCTTTAAGTGTTGGGTTTTTTTTTTTCACCCTTAATGGATCACTCTTTAATGCAGTTAGAACATGGTGTAGAAAAAGTTAAATAAACTATCCATGGAAATCCTGAAACTTTCAAAAGGACAGGTTTTGAAAGCTGAACCTGGTAATAATACTTTTCTCAAAAGATAAAAGGGGGTAATAAAAAAGCGTTGTCAGTATCATTTTCAACAAATGTTAAATGCTGTCTATAAAAGCGAGAATACAAATGCTCATAGTCTTTGTCTATCTAATTTTCTTGTATCTATACAGAGTAATCATAGTCAAATGATAAAACACCTTCTTATATATATTTGTAGGACACAGAAATATTCATTTTGATATTCTGAACTTTAAAAAGGTATATGATTTTTTTAAAATTTAACAAAATATTTTATGACAGACTCAATGGAAATTAAATAATAGAAAATAAGAAAATTACTTAATTTAAAAATCATTGTTTATCATTGTTTATTTTATAAATTAGATTGAACTCAACCTTCAGAAGTCAATCAATTAACTGCTTATTGATTTTAAAAGTTAACTGACAATATGCCTAACTTAAACAATAGCAAAATATCATAAGATGAAAGCTCAATAAATGGGGAAAAGTTTCAAGATTATTTCACCTTAAATTGGCCATTTGTTTTACTTCACAATGGCCCTGTGGACTAAATCAACTGTAGATCTTAAACTGTATTTTTAAGAGTTGTTAGTTTTCTGCTAAGTCAGTGTCTAGGTAAGCAACATGCCAATTATTGTAATAACTAGCAGCACACTTACAATACTAGCACCATAAACATGAATGCAGATTTTTATTTGTCAAATTCATGCTTACCTCCTACTCACACATGATCACAAAATACGTCTTTCAAAATGTGAATACTTGAGTACTCAGACTTTGATGGACACCTCAGCATCTCTAGGCTTACAGACTTCTCTGCAGTCCACACAACCTCAAATGGCCCTGGACACACTAACAAAGCCCGTCACTTTCACTACAGGTAGATTTATTAGGAGTTTTCATTCATTTTTCCAACAAATATTTACTGAGTGCCAACTATGTTCAAGACACCATGCTAAGCATTAGAAAAATAGCCACTGCTCTGCCCTCATGGAGCTTATAGTGAGTGTCTCAGAAAGACATCAGATACTTATTCTCATTTTCAAGTGTGCTAAATGCTTTGAAGAAAGAAACACAAGGTGTTGTAAGAGCATATACTGCTTGGCATAGCAGTGGAAATGGGGATTATTAAGAAAGTCAGGCTGAGGAAGTGTTATGTTTAAATTTAGACACAAAGGATGAAGGATGGAAAGGAGTTAGTTACTTGTGAGAGGAGTGGGAAGGAGGGGTGGAAATAAGAGTGGAAAGCATTTCTGGTAGAAGGCAGGGTGTGTGGGGATCTTGGATTGGAAAAGGAGACCAGCGCATCTAAGTCACCAAAAGGCCAGTCAAGTTTGAGATACAGAGTAAAGTGCTGAAAGATACTGTTAAAGAGCATGATACAATTTGTAATACATTTTGGTGAAGAGTAAGAATCTAGAGAAATAAAATATAACTTAGGAAAAACACATGTAAGACCTAAATATTATCAAACATAAATCAGACATGATCAAGCTAAGAGAACATATATATCAAACAAAACTCATATCAAAATGAAGAAATTTGAATATGAATTTTCTTTGTGCCTACCATCTAACAGCCACTGTTACTGGGCAGTCAGAAGGACATTCATTTCGTAGTGGTTTAGATGACTTTCAGTATATTTTAGGAAACTATTTGCAGGACTTTTGTCCCAATTCTGAGTACTAATAAGCTCTTCTTGTCTTTAATACATAATACTTTGGACACTGCTGAGATTCTAGAGAAAAAAGACAATATAATCATCCTAAATTTTGACTACAAAGTTGTAGGATCCCGTTTAATTAGCTGTTTAAGAGAGAATATGCAGTAAGCAAAGTATTAAAGAAAACTTCCTAGTTTTGGCTGGGATGTCAAGAATAATGACACTGGGTAACAAATATCCATTCATTACTCAGAGAGAGAGAGAAACTATCAGTCAGTGCTGCAACCCTTACTCATACCTCAGACTACAAATAAGAGCAGGTGAAGGGAGCTTGTGGGAAGAAGGGATTTATCTGAGAAAATATATTAGCCAGGTGAAGGAGGCTGCAGGAGCCCATCAGAGAAACTGTAAGAAGACTGGACAAATGCTCACTGAGCTGTAGAAGCTCTCCCTCTCACTGACAGCATAGCTGAAAAGTTAATGGGAAATTGCTCAGTACAGCTAGTGGACCAATGATACTAAGGGGTCAAGTAGATACCTAGAGAGGTGTTCAAAAGGTCTGCCAGTAAGTGCCTCTTGATGATAGTGGAAGAACTATATGGGATGTGTGGTCATGGAATAGGAACTGAGTGCTGGATAAAAAAAAGGTAAGCCAGAGAGCCAGTGTCCAGGAAATGCCATGTCAGAAGTCCCTGCTTACTGGGGAAGGTGGGGTGGGGATGAGGGGACATGACTTTGAACCCTAGCTAGCTTCTGGATGTCTAACATTACAGGAAATAGTAACTAAGAGGAACGCACAAATATCACCCACCAAGTAAAATGACTCTTCTGTTGTGATTCTTCTCCTTCCTATCCCTGGCCACATCATGGCCTCTCAGTGTCTTGACCCCCTAACCTCCAATGATCTTGTCCTCCACTCTACCTCATTTCCCAACATTATGACCTTACGTAGTAAGTTCTGATCTTTGTAAGTAACACTACCTTCCTCTAAATCTCAGTTTCAAACATCATTCCTTTCTTCTGGCTCATCCTCAGAATATTCTGATCACAAGCATTCCTCATTCTAGTGGGTTTTCCAAGCCACATTCTTGCTACACATTGTCCCCTTCATTTGCTCACTTCCCTTCTTGATGGACTAGGTTCCACACTTCATCATTAAAAACCACTCCTTTATATTACCATCAGTGCTCCTGCCCCTTTCAGTATGGGTTTTACTGGACAAATAAGACGTCTAACCTTGGTCAGCACTAAATTTCTGCTAAACCCAAGCAGCTGAATGAGCTAGGAAACAAATTACGATCATGCTGAGTGTTCTCCAGATTCATGACTACACCCTCCAATGGGGTCTCAGTGCTGCCTGGCAACCCTATTCCACTTTTCTAGTTAATTTACTGTTTCATACTACATCCCCTGCCTTCAGATCTCTAACATACCCCCCTTTTTCCTCACTCTCTGATTACACCTTTGCGTCTCATTTCATTTAGAAAATGGAAGCATCCCAAGAGAAACAGCCTCCTGCTACCAGCACATTTATTAAGCAATCCCATCCCCCTCTCCTGCTGTTATAGTGAATGAAATGTCTGCACTCCTATCTCAGTCAACTCCTTGCCTTATACCCTGGATCCCTTCCACTCCTGCAATTATCCATTCTGCCCTCCATCACACATAGCCCCTCTCTGCTGAAATGTCCTCACTAGTATACTTTCAGCAATGTCATCCATCTTAAATAAAACTTTCCTTGACCTCCTCCCCCACCCACACCATTCCATACCTCTCTTCCCAATCAAACTCCTTGAGTTATCACTTTTCACTATCTTCATTTCTCTATTCACATGATCTTTAGAATCCAGCCAAATAGGCTTTCCTCCACACCATTTAACCAAAATCTCTTGTTAAGGTCAATAATGACTGCAGTGATGCCAAATCCAGCGGCCATTTAAATATGATATTAATAGGTGGCAGCAAAGAGGAAGGATTTTAGAAAGGGAAATAAGACCAAAATCATAGCAGTTTTGCAAATAAGAGACTGTTATTACTGTTGCAACCAAATACCAGACAAACTGAGTGTTAATTTACTAGAATATAACTTTCCGTAATTAGCAAGTTAGAGAAAATCTCTAATACTAACATAACCCTGAATTTTCATGGAACCTATCATATGTACTTTTTTTTTTTTTTTTTTTTTTTGAGACAGAGTCTTGCCCTGTCACCAGACTGGACTGCAGTGGCATGATCTCAGCTCACTGCAACCTCCACTTTTTCCAAGAGCAGAATTCCTTCATGGTTTGTAAAAGAAATGTTTCTTGACATAAACAGTAACTTGTGAGTAGAAATCACATGGATATAAAATGCTGGACTTGAAAATCATCTAATAACATTCTTTAAAATGCTTATTTTTTAAAAGAAGGAATCGCATGCCCAAAAAAAGACAAGCCATCTCTAAGATTGCAAAATATGAATTTGTGAGTTTTTAAAAAAGAGTAGGAACTTAGAACTTTTTATGCCTACCGTTCTACTCCACGTTTTGCTCTGAAATAGCTATATATTCTGATGACAACTGGATTAATATAAACAATTCCAATCTCTCCCCTGAGCTCCAAACTTGCATAGTTAGCTGCTTACTTAACTTTCTTAAATCTAGAATATCTAATAGATACCATAAACATTAAATACCTCAAAGATCACCTTTATTCCCATCTAACCCAAATGTATTGGTCACCCAATCATTCTCATTTGAGTAAACAGCTTTACCCAACTGCATGAGCCAAATATTTGGGATTTATCCTTGTTTCTATATCGCTCATCTTTTTCATTTAATTTGTGAGCAAGCCCTGACAACTCAACCTCCAAAAATAAAGCCTTTATCTTAACATGTTTCTCCATTTAAACTGCTACCACTGTGCTCCTAAATACCATCATTTTCACCCTAAACTACCCAAAGGCCCTACTCTGGGCTCCCTGATGGCCCTCTTGGCCTTCAACA